TTGAGATCAATCTGGTGAGATTAGAACCGCTGAACTGCAGTTTAGCAGTCAGCTGAAGTGGCCTGCAGTACTGCACCCTAACCACTGCGCCACCTCGCCACCTAGATCCCTCTTACAGTTACTGCTGTTGAGCCAGCAACCTTCTATTCTATACCTGTGCATTTGTAAAGTGTAAAACCTTACTTTTCTCAACACTGAATTGCATTTTGTTGGATAGGGCTCATTCTTCACGTTTGTCCAAATCATTTTGGATATTGAGCCTATTTTCTAAAATGTTGGCTATTCCCCCCAGCTTGGTATTATCTGCAAACTTGATGAGTTCCCCTTGAACCCATCTCATCATCTAGATCATTTATGAAAATGCTAGAGCAGGGGTGTCAAACTGGAGGCCCGTGCGCTGAATGCATCACACGCAGGCCAACCCCCACCCCATCTCCACAAAGGCAAATCCCGTCATGATACATCACGTGACATCACATGATGTGATTGACACCTGTGTGCTAAAGAGAGCTCGGCCTAAGACAAACCCTTGGGCTGCATGCTTCACTCCATGTATTGTAGATTGGGATCCACTGGGGCCCACGCATTGAGTGCAGTTGTTTAGCTAAGTTATGAATCCATCTGGTGGTGATGTTGTCTATTCCATGTTTCTCTGTCTTTCCAAGAAGTAGGTTGTGATTTACATCTATTTAGCTCATAGCCGAGGGAAAAGAAATTATATATTTTCCATTCTCAGTTCTGAGCTAAATTTCCGTACCAAGATACAAGTATAAGGGTAAATCGTAACTTGTTTTGCTTTGTTGAGTCTGTTCTGTGCATTTAGCAATAATTAAGTGGCTGCCATAAAGGAGAGGAATCAACCAAAGGACCTGAACAAGAAGCAATGGATGGAAATTAATCAAGGAGAGAACCAACCTAGAACTAAGGACCAGTGGAACAATCTGTCTCCAGAAGTTGTGGGTTCTCTAATACTGGAGGTTTTTAAGAAGAGATTTGACAATCATTTGTCTAAAATGTTTTAGGGTTTCCTGCTTGAGCCTCCCTTCCAAATGTTATTCTGTGATTAAGTGAATTACATGATAAAGCAAATCTGGTTTCCCCTATTAGTTTTGCTTGTCTGAAACTGGTCGGGAAATTATAGATGATGATCACGTGAACCGAGGACTGTGAAACTGTCACTCATATCTGCCAGTTGACAAGCAGCTGGATTTTGATCAGGGAATTCTACAGTTAGAAGTATG